TCACACCGTCAGATCCTGTGTGAACGTCCCGGTTCTGGGTGTGAGCGGGGGGGTCACACCGTCAGATCCTGGGCAGCACCTCATAGCTGTTCTCTCGTCCTAGCGAGTGACGTGCGTGGGCAGCAGCCCCTCTGCTCGTAGTGATCTGGGTACAGCTGATCCTTGAGCAACACGGGGTTGAACTGCGTGCAGATCGTTCTCGATGAGTGCAGCTCAGCACTGCACACAGATTCCTCTGGTTTCCCATGACCTCTTCTCTAGCTCACGTTCTGTGTCACATGCACAGTGTGTCTGCGTGCTGTTCCTGCCGTTGGTGGGGCTCAGGCGGGGGGGCGCTGTTTGTGGTTTCGGTTGTGGGGGTTCAGCCCCTCCAGGCCCTGCTGTTCTTCAAGAAGGGTCCCCCATATTAAACGTAGACACGAGGCATTCCCAGGACCAGGCCAAACCAGGTTTATCTTTCATGGTGTTCTCTCCACCCTTAAACCCTCAGGGACTCTGGGACAGACCACAGAAGCCGCAGTCCCATGGCGCAGGGATGGCTCTCCCACGGCTGGGGCACGTGCTGTCTACCTTCCAGTGTTTCTGGAAGGCAGTTGGCCATAAAAATGTTCGTACTTTTTGATCAAGGACTTCCACCTCTGGGGCTCTGTTGTGAAGAGACATCGGAACCTCACACAAGACGACATGGCAACGTGGACACGATAGGATAAGGTTGTTCGGTAGCATTGGTACCAGACCCTGGGCCATCGAAGGCTGAAGGCGTTTGTCAGAGTAAAGGAGGCGTCTCCTCAAGGGCAGTTGGGGGCTTGTGTGGCCGGCAGCCCACGTCTGTGAGGGGAGGAACTGTGCACGCCCCACATGCAGTGGCTTGGGCAGGCTGAGGGTCACAAGACCTGCAAGGATTGAGGTACACGGGGAGTGGGGCTTTGTGTAGCAGGTTGGGACTCTCAACAGCACGAATTCAGGCAGGGCCCCTCCCTCATGCTCACGCAGGACCCACACTGGCCACAGAGGACGTCTCTGTGGTTCCCCAGCGGTCGCTTGTCACGCAGCCCATGTCGTCTGCCCATGACACACTGAGCCGGCAACCAGCACTAAAGGGACACGGGCGGCGGACGGACCCATTGACCGTCACGGTCCTGAGTGACACCATGGCACAGTCTGCCGCTTAGGGCAGCCTGTAGTTTGAATTAGTAGTTAAAGAACAAAGATGGAAGATGGGTGGGGTGAGCTACCTGAAAGCTCCTGAAGGAGCAGTGGAGAGAGCAGGAGATAAAGACTGAAGAGAGAATGGAACGGAAATAACATAAGAAGTCAGCCGCTGGTTCTTCACAAAGATGAATGAAATGGAAAAATGTGTGCAAGACTGATGAATGAACACCGACGACTCGCAGATACGTCCGGACAAAACTGCACGTGACTAGAGACAGTGCGGGGAGAGTGGGGCCACGCAGCGCAGGGAACTAGGACATGGGGCCTCGGGTGGCGAGGCCGCGGGGAGCCCGCCTCCAGTCGGGGGGAAGGAGAGCTCCAGAGATGGGAGTGCATGTGCGGCTGTATGGTAAACCTTGGCATCTGGCCGCAGCTGGGCTCTTGTTCTTGTTGTTTTTTGTTTAATTTTAAGTAATCTCTACATCCAGCGTGGGGCTCGAACTCATGACCCCAAGATCGAAGAGTCTCGCTCTTCCAACTAAGCCAGCTGGGTCCTCCCCGGAGTTCTTAAATATCGCTTGTTCTTGGACCTTTTTTCTTCCAGACTGACTTTAGAATCGCGTTGCATTCCAGGGACGAGAGTCGTAGAATCCAACAGCAAGTACGAAGGGACGAAGAGGGACGTGCTGTCCTTTGGGGACAGTCCCGCTTCCAGCACGATGTGACCCCCAGCACGAGCTCCTCACTGCAGGGATGGTGGCATGCGGGGACTCTAGTAGAGACGGCTCCTGACGTGTGTGGGGTCACGGGGGTCGCCTCTGGGGAGGGAGACGAGAAGTGACAGCAGGGGAGCAGAAGGGATTGTGTGACTCACTCGTCTTAAAGACTAGAGCAAAGAGCAAGTACTGCTGAAGTGACGGTTGCCGAAGAGTAGGAGACGGGCCATGTGTGGAAGAGGGTCCTCTTTGCTCTGTCACAGAATTTCTCAAAACAAAATTTTAAGAATCAGAATATATTCATGAGTAATAATGGAAATTAAAAGCTTAAATATACATTATCTGCCACACGTAGGGGGGCTAAAAGAATGTCATGGCACCGTATCAAACCGTCTGCGTCGTTGGTGTGAGCGGTGACCTATCGCTGAGAGGTCCCCACGGGCGAGGCTGGAGTTTGTCCTGCTGCTTGGGTCTGTCTGGTTAGTACAGCAAAGGGCCAACAGCAAGCATTCCTTCGTTTATGATCGTGGCATTTCTTTCCTGGTTCTTCCTCGTATTTTCCGCGTGTTTTACTCGGAGGCCCGTGTACAAAGATGCTCGGCGCGCTCTCCCTCTGGCTGCTGTCAGGGCGGCTTCACGGTGGCCTGACTCCGCACTTGAAAGGTGGTGCTCACTGAGGTCCGGCCGCGTTGGCGACCCTGGGCACTAGGCCGGGTCTGTCGTTACTGTTCCGGAGTTGTCCGCGAGGGGGCGACAGCACCCAGGGAAAGGCAGCATTGAGGCCACGCACTGGGGGCCCCGCTGAAGGCCCTGGCGCTGCCCCACTCACCGGGTCACCGCCTGAAGGGAACTGGCCGCCTGAGGTGTTCATTTTCGTGGCTGCTAATGCGCTCCACTGGTCCTGTGTGTGGTCCAGAGAGTCTCCCACGGTGATCAGTGTGCACACCTTTCCTGTCGCTCCCGCCTGACACAGGCCGTGTCTGCCTTCCGGGGGACTTCGTCCGGGAACCGAACTTGACCTGATTTGCCACCTCTGGGGCCAAGGGGCCACATCCAGCAGGATCCGCTGGTCCTCAGACACTGGGAGCTGTGTAGGCCGTCGGCATGAGGCCCCACCTGCGAGAGCTGCCACCAAATACCGTGGCCTCACCCCTCAGACCCAAGCGCCGTGGCTTACCCGAGACCCGGGCCGCAGCCGTGGGGGGCGGGTGGGGAGAGGGGCATCTGGGGAGCCGGCAGGTGTGGTTCAGGCCCCCCGGGAATTGGAGCTTATATACGGTTTCATACGTGGACGCGCTGGGGCAGCGCTAACATCTGGTCGTAGTGGAGCCGCTGCTGACCGAGGAGATAAGTGGAAATCTGAAGCGTTGGCCAGTAGCCCCCAGAGGCGGCCTTGCAGTGACACGGTTCTGTCCGCCAGGCAGCACCGGGTGACCGGCTTCCTCGTGTCCGCAGGTGACCTGAGCATCTCGGCAGACCGCCTGAGTGAGAAGCGGTCCCCCAACGACTTCGCCCTGTGGAAAGCCTCCAAGCCGGGCGAGCCGTCCTGGCCGTGCCCGTGGGGAAAGGTGTGCTCCCGGGAAGGCGCGGGCTGCAGTGGTGGGCGCACCGAGATGCCCCAGACCCTCGTGGGCCTGTGGGCACGTGACTTCCCTTCCGGGACTTGCCCGTGTGCATCTGGGGTGCGGGTGGGTGGACTGCGAGGCCCCCGTGTCCTCCCAGCCTTAGACTCTGAGTGGTGCTCACTGCTGAAGGCCAGTCCACCCTCTGACGGTCCCTGTGACGACAGTCCCGATGGCCCACAGCCGGGGGAGGGGGTGTTCGCACCTGCCTCTGGTCCGGGCTGGGCAGTTCTGGGGGTAACGTGAGCCTCAGTCCGCCTCGGCCTGCAGCGCTCGCTGGGACCTTGACAGCAGGGGCTGGCCTGCGATTTTCATGTTGGAATGTAACGTCTGTTCCAATAAGGCTCAGAGGTTTTGAGGGTCATGAACACGGGACACTTGAACGCCTGGACCGAGGGTAGGCTGGTTGGTCACGGGGTCCCGTTTGGATCTTTAGGGGCGTCCGGGATGGCACATCGAATGCTCTGCAATGGCAGGCACTCTCCTGGGAGCCTCGATGGACATTCACGGGGGGGGCTTTGACCTCCGGTTCCCCCACCACGACAACGAGCTGGCCCAGTCGGAGGTAGGCAGAGGCTGGGGTCACTGTGTCCGCTGGGAGGGGGCTTGAGTCCCCCCCGCGGTGGTAGAAGCAGCCAGGGGTGCTGCCAGCGAGGCACTGAGCCCGGCCTGATGCCCACATCAGGGTCTCGCTGGTGGGATTTGAACCCTCGTTGTTCGGTTTGATTTCCCACACGAACAGCCTGAGTGTTGGCGACAGACAGGCCTGGATTGGAACCGGCCGTTGCCTCTCGGCTCACTCACTGGTCCAGGGCCATCCCTCTGAGCCCCAGGGGACCCCGCTCGGAGAGCCGCCCCCTCTTCTGCGTCGCTGCGTGAACAAAGGGCCCGCAGAGCACCCGGCCAGCAGAGGTGCCTCGTGGCGCCCCGACCTCGCCCTCTCCGCCCCTTCCTGAGCAGGCCTACTTCGAGAACGACTGCTGGGTCCACTACTTCCTGCACACGGGCCACCTGACCATCGCCGGCTGCAAGATGTCCAAGTCACTCAAGAACTTCATCACCATTAAAGACGCCTTGAAGAAGCACTCCGGTAAGCCCGACCCCCCAGGACCCGAGCGCCCCTTCTCGCGGCGGCACAGTGGCGGTGGCTGCTCGGGGCTGAGGGGACCGACCGCGGTGCTGTCCCCCGTCCCAGCGCGGCAGCTGAGGCTGGCCTTCCTCATGCACTCCTGGAAGGACACGCTGGATTACTCGAGCAACACCATGGAGTCGGCGCTGCAGTACGAGAAGTTCATGAGCGTAAGCCCCCCACTCCGCCGCGCCGGGGTCGTTCCCGCTCCCGTGTCTGCTGACGGGGGGCAGTCGGCCCCGCGCCCCTTTCCTGAACCCCCTGCTGACCTGCTAGAGACAGGTGCCCACGTTCCTCTGGTGTCCGTGGGGCACGTTTCCCGCACACCTGTCTGCTGTGCCGGCGTCCCAGGCTGAGCCTGGCACCCGTTCCCGTCTTGAAGGGGAACCTTCCGCTCCCTGCGGCTGCCAGGGCTGTGTCAGCGCCGTGGTTTTCCAGATTATACGGGAAGGAGACGCGCTTCACCACCGTAGCTCTCTCCCAGATACTGCTCGGGTGGAAAAGTCTTGTAAACGCAATTAATCCAAATTTTCTGACCCTAGGAGTTTTTCCTAAATGTGAAAGACATCCTTCGAGCTCCCGTTGATATAACCGGCCGGTTTGAAAAGTGGGAAGATGAAGAATCGGAACTGAACAAGAGGTAGGAGACTTAGGGGTCTGCAGGCGCGCCCGTGCTCCGTGCTGCCCGTGGCAGACCCGCCAGCGGGCGGGAGGCTGTGCGCCCTGGCCTCCGTCTGTGCAGACCCGCCGGCGAGCGCGCGGCGACTGCGTGGACCGCCTCCCGGCCTCTGGAGCGCTCGGGCGCGCGGGCGCGGTGTTACCGGCTGACCTCCCGTTCCTCTGGCTTAGCTTTTATGACAAGAAGGCGGCGGTTCACGAGGCCCTGTGTGACAACGTGGACACGCACACGGCTTTGGAGGAGATGAGGGCTCTGGTGAGCCAGTGCAACCTGTATGTGGCAGCCCGGAAGGCCGCCAGGAGGAGGCCCAACCGGGCGCTGCTGGAAAGCGTCGCCCTGTACCTCACCCACATGCTGAAGGTAGGCCGCCCTCGAACTGCAGGCGCCTGTGGCGCTCGCCGGGCCGCGTGCACGCAGGCCGTGGGCCTCGGCCGTGACCGCGGAGGCCTCGGGCGGCTCGGGGCCTGGCATCCGGTCACCGCGGGCCCCTTCTCAGGACCTCTGCACACACTCATCCTGCACGTCTGTCTCTCTTTATAGATCTTCGGGGCCATCGAGGAGGAAAGCTCCCTGGGATTCCCAGTGAGAGGACCTGGAACCAGCCTCGATGTGAGTAGAGCACCCCTGGGCACAGAGAAGTCCCTCCCTGGGGGTCGCCCCACCCCTGGGAAATGGCGCCTGCGTTGAGGAGCACCCTCCTGCCTTCCACGCCTGCTCCCTTCCCTTCCTCGCTCCCCTCCTGGGCCAACCCTGTGGACATTTGGAGGCCCACGTCAGGTCCCACCGGCCCTGGACCTTCCAGACCGAGCCCGGGGCTCACCTGGACCTCCCAGGCAGCTGTTCCTCCCGCGTGTGCAAGCTCAGCCTTTCTCCCTGACCCATCCTTGGGGTGTTTGTGCTGCCGTGTGCCACCCGTGAGCTCAGTCTCGGGACAGCAGGCTCGACGGGACCGACTTTGCTTGAGCTGTAGCCACATGGTAATGGATTCCTGTGCGCTCACGTTCTTGCACGTGTGCATTCACATAGCACGCCGGGCCATGTGTCTGGTGGGGAGAAAGTTCCCCGGCAGTGGCCAGCGTCGCCCCAGGACTGGCGGTTTCCACTGCACGATGACCCTCCCTCGTGGCACATGCTCGTTCAGGCTCATCTCAGACACTCTTCAGGCTTGATCTTTAATGATTTGATGAGAATGCGTGTGTGGGTATTTAGATCTAACTTATTTAAAGGAAAACAGGAAGCAGGGACTAAGTAAAAAGGCCAACCCTTTTTAGAATTCTGTTTCTGGGTGGTAGCTAGTGTGAGGAACCTTCTTCTGCAGGGGGAGCATACAGCTGTCTCCCCAGGAACTGGCTTCCGAAAAGAAACCAGGTTGTATCAGGAAGAAGGCCTGCCCGAGCCCCGGGCCCACATCCCCGGGGCTCCACTCGCCCTAAAGCTGGTTGGTGTAAAGGCTTTAACCTCCCTCGGTGCTTCTCAGAAGGGAGACCCACACGGCTGCTGCTTGTCTTGTACACGTGACGTTACACGTTGAGTTTCTCAGAAAAAGAGAAAGAGAGAAAACACTTCCGGCACTAAAGACCGTCTGCTCTCGAGCTTAAAAACAGTGCTTTTAATGCGCTGGTTGTGGGGGGCTTTGCGCGTGACCTCGTGGGCCCTTTGAAGGCCGCGTGTGGGAATAAGCAGCTGTGAGGTGACAGGGCCAGCAGGCCTGCCAGGCCAAAGGGCGGGACTCCTTTGTGGGCTTCACAGCTTTTGAAGTCTCTGTGCCAGCTTCCAAATCTGAATTGTTTTCGGAGCGGGGCAGACAGTCTTGATGAGGCCACAGTACTGAGTGGTGTGCAGTGCACGCGAGTGGGGTCCACAGGGCCGCCGGGGCACCCCTCCTCCACACAGACCCTGCTGGCTGAGGCTCCCGTCCCCCTGCGCCAAGGCTCACCATGGCGGTCTCCGTGCCTGGTGGAGATAAAGAGCAAACACCCTGATGCCGGTCCCCCTGCACAAGCACGGCGCCCCCGCCGGGTGCAGGACTGGGACGGGGGAGGCCAGGTCAGGCCGGGGGCTCGGCAGCCTAGCCAGCTTCTGTGGGTAGTGATTATTACTTCAGTGACTGAGCCACCGAAAGACTTAATTAAGAGGCAGGGAGAGATTTTGCTTGAAAGCCTACTGGAAAAAGAGGAAAGATGTAAAAAAAAGATTTTATAAAATCGTTGTTTCTCCAGTTTGGATTCTGCTGTCTTTGGTTTTCCTTTCTTTTTTTTTTTTTTTTAAAGATTTTATTTATTTATTTGAGAGAGAGAATGAGACAGAGAGAGAGAGCATGAGAGGGGGGAGGATCAGAGGGAGAAGCAGACCCCCTGCTGAGCAAGGAGCCCGATATGGGACTCGATCCCGGGACTCCAGGATCATGACCTGAGCCGAAGGCAGTTGCTTAACCAACTGAGCCACCCAGGCGCCCTGGTTTTCCTTTCTATCAGGCTTTCCGTGCCGGGACCGCCCCTGGGTTACTGCCGGTAGTTAACTGTGGCGTAGACGCGAGTGTGTGTGTGTGTGTGTATGTGTGTGGATGGTGACAGGTCTTGGAGACTCTGGTTCCTCTTGCACAAGCGTGTGTGTGGCCAGGTCGGACGCAGGCGCAGCCCGGCTCCATGGTGCTGGCCTCCACTCCCAGCCCAGGAGGGACGGCGTCAGCCTCCCAGAACAGAGCCTGCCCGACAGACACCCACGTTGAACCGTTTATCTGTAAAGACGGGGTTTTTTGAATAGTGTGTCTGACCGGAGGCAAAGCCACTCCTGTGAGCAGTTGAACAGAGTGGCTTGCAGAACTTGTCGGGCTGGGCCGAGAGGGAAGCTATCCTCCTGTCTGTGGTCCGCGTCGTCCATGCGGGGACCCGCATACCCAGTGTGGACCAAGTGTTTGGTGGGGGGTGCGTCCCAGCTCTGGGACAGCGGCACCCCCTGCCCCTTCCAGACTTCTGCGCGCGCCGAGCCCTATCCATAAATACAGGCCGAGCTTGACTCTGAGCGAACCTGTTCTTTCCGCAGCTGGAGTCCACGGTCATGCCCTACCTGCAGGTGTTGTCTGAGTTCAGAGAAGGCGTGCGAAAGATTGCCCGAGAGCAAAAAGGTGAGGCTCTTCCTTGCTGGGGTTTCTCTGTGTGGGGCCACCCTGGGCGCCGTCGGGTGTTAGCAGCGCCCGGCCTGGGGCACGACATCTGCAGGGCCGCCCCCCCACGTCGTGACGGCCACCACGTCTCTCGACACTGGTGTCTCCCGCAGGGCAGGACCGCCGGGTGGGGGCCGAGGACGCGTGTCAGAGGCGGGGTTTCTTCGCCTGCATTATTTGAGTGGAAAGGCAGAACGAGGCCCCTCTGAGTCCCCTGCCCTCCCGTCTGCGCGGGACTCATTTCTACTTCTGGTGCATCTGCGGGCCGGGGGCTCGCCAGTGCCTGTCCTTGCTTCTGGAAGTGAGCATGGGGAGCCGGGGGAGCCCAGGCGCCGCCCCAACTGTCGTTCTGCTCGGGCGTGGCGGGGGCCAGCTGCCTTGCACTCGAGGGGCCTCCCCCGGGGCCGCCTCACGGCATGCGGCCAGCTGCCCGTCGCCGACATTGCCGAGGTCGGTCACTGTCGTGTGTCCTTGGAGACTTGAGAGTGCTGCGTCCCTGCAGACCTGTTTGTGTCAGCCGTGAGCCGGAGTGCGCGTCTCACTCTGCGCTGTCGGGGCGGCTGACGGGCGAGCTGAACCCAGGCCGGCCGGGTCCGCTCTGCTGCGCTCCGCCCATGTGCGCGCTGCCCCGTTCGGGGCTCAGCATTTCACAGAGAGTTGGAGCCCTGCCAGGGAGGGCCATGCAGGAGTCGCCCACCGCAAATGCCACCTGTCTCCTGCTGTGCCATGCTCCCTCCCCAGGCCCCTCTGACAGGTAGTTACACCTGGAGCTCCCCTGGCCGCCATCCCTGCAGAGCGGGTCCAGGCGGGGTGTCCCGAGGGTGGAGCAGGCAGAGGGCCCGATGGGGTGCTCAGGTAGCCGCTGGAGGGAGCCGCACCTTGGAGACGAAAGAGCAGGCCTGGGCCTGTTCCGGGGAGGGCAGAGCAAGAGGGCGGGAGACCCCAAGGCCACGGGGCCCCCGGGAGGAGCCTGGATCTGACGGTGCTGTTGTGGGGAGCAGGGGGCTTTAGGCCGGGACATTTGGACCCGTTGACTAAACACCCTCTCTCTAGCACCTGGCACCCTCACTGTTTTAATTGCTGGAGAGAGCCTAATGGACTCTGCCGGAGCCGTGCTGCCTCATCCAGCCACGTTGACAGCCCTGGCATCTCGGGCTCGGGGGCGGCCGGGGCACCTCTTCCTGGCTGTCCCCCTGCGGCCCAGCGTCCTTCCTGGCAGGTGCTGGTGACCGAGGGCCATCGGAGGCCATGCTCAATGCGCAGACCGGGCCAGGGGCTTGCGCAGGCCGAGAGTACCTCCCGTCGACTGGCTTGGGGAGGGGTTTGGTTTTACTTCTCCTTGGCGTGCTTTCTCTTTTCGCTGTGTTTTGTTTGTTGCTCAGGCAAATGGACAAAGAGCCCAATTGCTGAGTCGGGATGGTGGTAGTTGAGTCGACGCTGTATGTGCCTTGTCCACCTGCAGCGCTCTCCTGCCCAGAGGCCCAGGTGGGTTGAGGTCATCCTGCCTGAGCCCGTGGCCCAGGACCCATGGACCTGGGGCCCTGCAGATAGGGTGCCTTCTGGGAGTCAGAGACCTGGGGCCTGTGCACTTCGGGCTCCAGAGACAAGGAAAGCCTTCTGGGCTGAAGACAGCTCCCCACCTACCAGCTGCAACAGCAGGTGCTGAGTCCTTGTTGAGCACCTGGCTGTCCTGTGACCCCAGGCTGGCCACGGAGACAGAAAGACAGAGTGGGAAGCTTAGGGTAGGCCCTGGGGTCACGGCTTCAGCCAAGTTTGCCAGGTGCCTGGCACTCGCCTAACAGGTGAGAAAGACACCGTTTCCCCAGTGCCCACAGCCGTGTTGGCCAGAACTCGGCCCTGCCCAGGGAGGACATGCACTGGGGGCATCTGACTAGGAGAGGCCTGGGAATTTGGGAAGAAGTTAGAAGAGGAGGGAGGCCACAGGTGTGGTCAGAATACCCCTCTCCCCTCATGTGTTTCATTTTTAGTAAAACCCACGTAACATAAAAAATGTATCATCTAATCGTGAGCAAGCATACAGCTCAGGGACACTAAGCACATTCACACCGTTGTGCAGCCGACCCCACCATCCGTCCTCAGAACTTTGCATCTTCCCCAACGGAGACTGTTCCCATGAAACAGTGACCCCCACCACTTCCCCCAGTGCCCACCGTCCACTCTCCGTCCCCAGGAGTCACCGGCCCCCATCCCTCCCCCGACCCCAGCGCCCACCTTCCACTCTCTGTGTGAATCTGACTCCCCCTAAGGGTCTCATACACTTAGAATCCTGCAGTATTTGTCATTTCGTGACTTGCTTATTTCAGTCAATGTGGATGGTGTCCTTTAGGTCCATCCACATTGTGGCAGGTGTCAGAATTTCCTTCCCCTTTAAGGCTGGGTCATATACCACTGTGTGCATAGATCGCATTTTGCTCATTCGCTTGTCTGTGGGCAGATTCCGTGGCCTTTTGTGTCCTCTCCTGAGCCTCCCTTCAGTGACCTGAGAGGTCTCCCTGCTCAGCGCCCAGTCTGTTCTCCGCTCCTGTCTCTGGCCCCACCAGCTGTAGCCAGCCCTGGCGGACTCGCTCCCTCCCCGTGGCCACATGCCTCTGGGTGCGAGCTCTGTGGAGTCTGTGAGCCCCATGCCAGGCAGGGCCAGGCCCGGGCCGGGCCATCTCGGCCTGCGAGGGGAGTGCCGACTGGCGTCTCCGCTCGGTGTGTTCGCACAAAGTGCTTCTGAGCTGTTGCTCGTTAGCAGCGACCACAATGGAAACCCTCTTTTTCTAGAACCTGCTACAGTCTGAGCCTCTTGGAGTCAACAGGACTGCGAGGTGCTTGTGGCCAGGGGCGTCCCAGCGACCACACCGGGGAAGCCCGTCTTCCTTTTCTGGGCACTTAGCGGCTGTGAAGCTGCTTCCCTCCTTGGAAGAGCGTGCCCACGGTGGTGGCGTGCCTTTGTGGTCTCACACTCGGGAGCAGTTCTCCTGCGTGTGCCCTCCGCTGTCCCAAGGCACAGCCCCACCTCGCCCGGCGCCGCCTCTCCATGCGACGGCCCTGCCCTGTCCAGGCTTCTCCCCCAGCCCCTGGCTGCACAGCCGGAGCTGCAGACCTGGACCTGCCCGGGCGGACACTCCCCGAAGCCCAGTGCTGCTGCCGGCGGCAGAGTGGGTGGTCCCTAGGGGGGCCCCGTGGGGGTCGTGGGGCTGTTGCATGTGTGACTTTCGGAAGAACCCCGTGTCCCACGCTGTCTCCACGCCCTCGCCAACGCTTGTCATTTCCTGGCCATACGAAGACGGTTGTCGCTCCTGGCGCTCCGTGGGGCATCTCCGCGGGCCCTGCCGCGGGCTTCCCTGGCGGCGTGTGGTGTGGAGCCCCATTCCCTGCGCCTCGTGGCCATGTGTGCCTCTCGTCTGGAGAGCTGTCCCTTCAGGCCCTGCACCCATGTCTCGTGGGGTCATTCATCCTGTCATTGTGGCTCGTGGGAGCTCTTCATTGTGCACGCTGGGCCTGGTCAGCACGTGACTCGGAAGGCAGGGGAGGAGAAGGCGAGCCCCCAAAGTAATCAAAAGGTCTGGAAAGACGGTGTGTGTGTGTGGGGGGGGATTCTGAGCTGTGTGGACGGGGCAGGTGTCGCCGTGATGGTGATGGCCATCGTCCTCGGCTCCGCGGGGCCCACACCCAGAGGACAGCATGGGCCTGGGGTTCCTGCCACCGGGCAGGGAGCCGACGGTCAGCTGATGGTGGTGATGGCGGCCCCTGGCTTCCTTTCCTTCCAGTTCCGGTTGGCTTGTCCCAGCTCCTGCCCCGGGGTCAGCCCTCCACAGGGGCTATCGGCAGGGCGAGGGCAGGGAGCAAGGATAAAGGGTGTTGTCCCGTCAGCCATGCTGGGAAGGCTGGAGAGGCAGAGACGGCTTTTCCTTGAGCAGTGTTGGGAAGCTTCCTGGAGCTGGCTGTGCTTGTGGGTGCATGGAAGTCCTCTGAGATCCGTTCATCATTCATCTATCCCACGGCAGGTGGCCCCATGCGCCCCGGCCACCGCCCCAGAGGGGCACAAGGCGCAGCGGAGGGCAGGGTGTGTGCACGCCCGGTCGGTGTAGGTGGCTCGGGCAGGAGTGGGGGGCTGGTGTCGCGTTTCTGGTGTGGGCCTCACTCACAGCCCCGTGGCCAGGGCGTGCAGAACCATTTGGGGTGGGCCAGCAGTGCAGGCGGGTGTCCGAGGGAGAGCTGAGGACGTGGCAGACGCTGGTCGCGGTGCCTCCACAGTACGACGAGGCTGGGTGCCAGCCCTCCTGTCCCCTGACGTCCTGGGATTGGTCGCCGTCAGAGCTTTCTGAGACGCACTGCCGCCCCGTGCCCTGTGGCAGCCCGGCTCCCACGCTGACTTCCCCCGGTGCCTGTTTGGCGCAGGCTGGGCCCGTGGGGGACTCGGCGGGCCAGGGGGCCTTCTGGGAGCTGGGAGGCAAGCCAATCTGAGACCTGGCTTTGAAAGACAGCCGCCCACAGAATGCCTCATCCTCGGTGCCACCAGACCCTGTGAGCAGAGCCGCGCCAGCCTGCTCCCACACATGGCACCTTGTGGCTCCTCGTAGCTGCTCTCAGGGATGGCCACACGTCCCCACTGCACAGACTTGAGAGGCCGGGGCTGCCTTACCCGCCCCTCGCCCTGTTCTGACTGCAGCTGAGTCTCCTCACCGAGGTCAGATTCTCACCCCAGAGCTTCTGAGCAAGGCCCCACGTGCTCTTCATTCTCGGCAGCGGCGGCAAACGGCGGCAAACTCTCCCTGCCGTGTGGTCCCCGGTGCTGAGCCTCCTGGGAACGGGGCCCGTATGTCTGACCCTGCAGGTACCGTGCCGTTTGGGCCCAAAGGCCACACAGGTGCTCTTTTCACCCCTGTCCACTTGGCCCGCTCTATGTGCTGGCGTGTACCATTTTTCTTACAAAAGTCACTTCAAAGCCCGTGGGACAGCCAGGCTCTGCGCCTCCTCCTGGGCTTCCCAGGCCCCCTGCCCGTTCCGGCCACACCTGGGGGGGCCGAGGGTTGGCCGAGAGCCATGTACCCACCGCGGAGCTAGTGCTTGGTGCCGTGTTCTGCAGCACAGCGTGGACCCCTGTCCCCCCGGCCTCCGGCCCTTCCCGATCCCTCGGCTGGGCCTTGCGCATCGGGGAGAGATGTTGGCCGCTGTGGGCTTCACCCCAACCTCCAGACCCAGTTCTGGCTCTCGCTGGTGGGTGCTTGGAACCCGGCGGGTCCTGGGCCGAGCCTCCTCGCCACAAGGACGTTTGGAGGACAGGCGGTGCATGTGGACGTGGAGCACGGTTCATGAGGCGAGGGGCTGAGGGAGCGTGGAGCACCGGAGCGGGTTCCTGATAGCCGCCGACACGCTCGTCCTAGCCGGGCGTCTCTCTGCACCAGGCAGGCCTGACCAGGGCGGGTGAAGAGTGCGGGGAGACTTAGCAACATTTCTGGGTGGCCTCAGAGCACGTGTGGCCTTGGGTCCCTGGGTCCTGGAGTGTGGAACACGGCTGCCTTTCTGGATTGCTGTGCCAGGGCTCTGGGGGCTGGACACCTTCCCGGTTGACCAGGAGATTTGGGGGGGTTTCTGAGCCTCTTTTCTGGGAGGAAAAACCTAGTTTCCCTGGACCAGCTGCCCACCTGGCTTTGGGCGGCCCGGACTTCCTGCTCTGAATCCCCAGGAGCCGCGCGGGTGCATCTTCAGACGGCACCTGCCTTGGAGCGGGGTCCTAAGGCGGTGTGCAAACCGTGGCCCTCACTGGCAGCCACGTCGTTTGTGCCTGGGCCACGGCTCTCCCCAGAGCACTCGGGAAGGTGCGCGCTGGGCGCATCCTGGTGCTCCTTGTGTGTCTAGTTGGACTGAACCACTGTCTTTGTTCACAGTCCCTGAGGTCCTGCGACTCAGCGATGCCCTGCGGGATGACATCCTGCCCGAGCTCGGGGTGCGGTTTGAAGATCACGAAGGTGGGTCCTCTTGGCCGCGTCTGGGGCCCATCATCAGGAACTTCGGGTGCGGTGGGCAGGGACATGGGAGGGACGCTGGGGTCGGGAGCTGGTTTTGGAAGAGTTCCGGGATGGGGTCAGAGGTCACGGGGTTTTTACCATGAGGAGTCCCGGAGCGGCACCCCTGTGGCCCCTGGGGGTGGCGTTGTAGGTTTATTGCTCCAGCTGTCCTGGGTACCTCCCATGTCTGACAGGCGTGCGGCCTGGCTGCCTATTGCTGCCGGGCACCGGCCGCCCTTCCTTGCAATCTGTCCCTTGGCAGATGGCCCGCAGGACCGCCGGCCAGTCTCACCCAGTGTCTGTTGACATCGTGGGGGTTTCGGCTGCACAGGAAATTATAGATTCTAAATACTCAGGTGACATGTCCCATTTCATGATCTCTGGGCCCCATGTCATGAGTGGTGAGGCCTCCCCACGTTCCAGTTAAAGTGGAAGCCCCTGAGCAGTGAGGGGGCGCGAGGGCCATGGGGGCGGGGAGGGGGCTGGGCCCCACGTCTCCGACTCGGCTTTTCAGGGCTGCCAACCGTGGTCAAGCTGGGGGACAGAGAGGCCTTGCTGCGGGAGAGAGAGGAGAAGAGACGGGTGAGTGGCTGGAGCGGCCGCGTGTTGACGGGAACGGGAGACGGCTGGTGCTGTGTGCTTTGCCAGAGCTCCCGTGGGGGGCCCAGCATCTAGAAGCGCCGGAAGGAGGCCTAGCTGGACGCGGGCTACAGGGCAGGGTGGTAACAGAGCGAGCTCTACCTTCTAAGGAAGGATCCTCTTTTTAAAAAGCGACCCCCGGAGTTCAAGGGAGAACTTTGAGTAAACCGTGCAGCCGATGTGTTTGGCCACAGCTTGCCCTGTGGTGTGTCCTTTGCCCCTGCGGGAGGACCTGCCAGTCACACCTCCGTCTGCCCAGGAAGCGCGGGGCAGGTGCCAGGGGCTGGGTGTATGAGCAGCGCCGGCGGGAGGTGCGTGTGGGCGCGGGAGCGTGGCTCGCTAGACGAGCGCCCGGGCAGGTGACGACAGCTGGTGCTGAGCCGCAGCAGACCCGCCACTGCTGGGTGTCCCCAGGAGCCGAGGAGGCCCTGTCGGCTCCTCCCGTTTCTGCCCCATTCGCTCGCCTGGCTTAGTGGCCCGTCCCCGGGGCCAGGCTCTCGCCTCGCCTTGGGCAGCACAGCAGGTGGCCCGGCCACAGAGGTGACGTGGGGCTGGCCATGCCTCCCACCACCCCAGGCTGGGCGAAGAAGCAAACGCCCCCGCTTGCTGCCCCCCACCCCCACCCCGGTCGCTCTGCCCGGGCAGGTGCGCGCAGGGCATAAAGGCAGACGGGGCTCTGATGGGGGCGGCAGGGGGCAGCCCTGCCTGCCGGGGGCCCTGCCTGTGGTTCTCGCTCCGGCCGGGGGCTGCTGCGCGTCTTCCCGTAGCTCCTGTCTGCCCGCCAAGTGGGGCCCGTCCCAGACGGTGGTGCTGAACGGCCACCAGGACTGCGGCCTCCCCTGCCCCCCGAACCTTCCCGCCGGGGGACAAACACGCTCCTCACCAAGAAAGCAGCCGCCGAGCTCGTACCAGGCCGCCTCTCTGCCCGCTCCCAGCCTCCTCTGCCCCAGTGGCTGCTTTTCCCAAGCCCGTGGCCTCTGCTCGCGGGGACCTTCGCTCCACTCCCCGCTGCACCGGCCCTGCCCTGCCCTCACCCAGTCCCATGGCTCTCTGGCCCCACACTTGCCCGTACCCCGCCGCCCACCTGACAGCTTAGCTGACCAGGAAGCCCTGAAACCCAGGACGTCCACGAGCGCATCGTGACTCCACTCGCCAAAGCTGTAGCCCCTTCCTGTCGGCAGTGGTACAGCTCGGGTCCTGCAGTTCCCCTCACGGGCGCCGCCCAGCACCGAGGCTGGGGATCCCCTCCCCGCCCCTGCTGCCAGGGTGCCCCCCTCAGCCCTGCCCTGACTGCAGGTGGGGGTGGGCTCCTGGCCTCCAGCCTGTCTCCAGCAACCCCCACTGCCCTTCATCCACATTTAACCCCGGTTCCTTCCCTGGCCCAGGCCCCATGTCCTGGCACCTGCTGACCCTGCCCTTCTCCCCCACGTTCTCTAGGCCCTCGCAATGCTGTCCCTGCTCACCCACCTGACAGAGCCCCTCCCCAGCTGGGCTCACTGCTCCTTTCTTTGTATCTGCTGGGCCCAGACCTTGTCACGTGTGCTCTTCTCTGCTTCCGCACGTCCAGAGCAGGGCCCGGCGTCCACACGGGCCGCTGAGAGTCTCCCCAGTCCCTGATGACGAGGGCTCCCCGCCCCCCATGGGGTGACTAGGTCGATGTCCAGGCGAAGGCAATGGGGGGCCGGCTCTTTGGCTCATGGGGCTCCCTCTACTCCCCTAGGTTGAAGAAGAGAAGAGGAAGAAGAAAGAGGAGGCCGCCAGGAAAAAACAGGAACAAGAGGTAAGCACACCGTCTGTGTGGGGCCCAGGCTCTCCTGGGTGGAAGTGGACACTCGGACCCCATGTCCCGCTCTCTGTGCCTCCCTGGGGCCCGGCCAGGTCCCCACTCTGTCGGCGCCGACTACAGTGCCCTCCTGGCCTCCCCACACACCCCCACAGGGCGCCCTGAGTGCAGGGAGGCCGGGAGGCCCTGGTGAGGGAGAGGCCAGGTGGGGGAGCCGCCCCGGGCGGCCACGGGCTCCAGGCGGCCGTCACAGGCTCCGTGCTGCTGTGATGGTCTCAGACAACCGTCCCACTGTTTCCAGAGGACAAGCAGGACGCTCCGTGTTGAGTTGTCCCTCCTCTGACTCGCCCTGCCCCGGCCTCACCCTGCCCGTCTTTTGTCGCTCTCTCAGTCCTGGGGCTGGGCTGGGGGTGACGCGTGGTCAGGCCTTCCCCGCGCGCGCTGGGCTGTGGCGATCAGGGCTCTGTGTCCCAGGCAGCAAAGCTGGCCAGGATGAAGATCCCACCCAGTGAGATGTTCTTGTCGGAAAGCGACAAATACTCCAAGTTTGACGAAAACGTAAGAGTCTCTTTTTTTTCTTCTCAGAACCTTGTTAGACTGCTAAATTGGGGGTGACGGGGACCTCCAGCCTTGGGCGAGCAGCTTTTCTGTTTGGGGTGCAGTTTGCGGCAGGCGCCCCACATGCCCGGGGCGGCCTCCCTCCAGGCTGGCCAGAGGTGCGGCGGGGAGGCCGTGGCACTGTCCCTAGACCCTTCCTTACTGGTTCTCATACGTATTTGCTGCTTTCCTTCATGCCAGCCCTATCAGAACTGAGCCACGTTGACCCAAAGGGGGACAGTGGCCTCGCCCCCAGGTGGGAGGGTGCCCCCAGCCCCATCGCTCGCTCGCCGGGAGAGGCGCCGCCGCGGGGGGCGCTACTGCGGAGCGTGTGTGAGTCCGCGCCCCGGGTGCGTCCCAGGGCTGAGCCCATGGGCTCCGAGAGGGGGGGTCGGGCGCGCCCTGCTGAGCCTGTGCTCCCCGTGTTCTCAGGGTCTGCCCACACATGACACTGAAGGCAAGGAGTTGAGCAAAGGGCAAGTCAAGAAGCTGAAGAAGCTCTTTGAAACTCAGGAGAAGCTCTACAAGGAGTATTTGCAAATGGTGCAAAACGGAAGCTTCCAACAGAACAGCGGGGACTGAGCTTTAAGCCGTCGGTGGCCTGACTTTCTGTCTGCATCCTTAGTGATGGTGCCCCGTGTTCTGATCCTGTTTACAGCGGTGCTCGGGTCCTAAGCCCAGCACTCCGTTCACAGAGGCCCACGCCATCTTCGGCTCTGGGACTTCAGTAATAAATGTTCCCAGACAGCGAGGCCGGGCGTCCTGTGTGCCGTCGAGCTCCCGGTCAGCGCCTGTGTGGGGCCTGCTCGGGGCTGCTGGCTCAGCAGGTCACGGCTTCGGTGCTCGGGTCAGTGGAGCTGCTTCAGCCAGCCGAGAAATTTCTGCCCCGTGCAGATTGCTATCGGCTAATCTCTGGTGTCTGGGTGCTTTTGGAGGTATTTAAGTAGGAAAAAGACAGGCTCAAACTGGCGAGCCCGCTGACACCACACACAAAGGCCGTGCAGTCGGGCCCTCTGGTTCTGAGGAGTAGACACACCACAGCGATCCTGCGGCACCCATGCTCCGGGGACGACCGAGGGCTGGCTCAGCAGGCGCGCCCTGCCCTGCCCTGCCCTGCCCTGCCCTGCCCATGTCCGCACGGCTGCCCGCTGAGATAAGGGGGGAGGTCGCGGCACACGCAGCGGGCAGCCGTTTGTCACCAGGCCCCAGCGTGGGCAGCGCCCCGCCTCGGACGAGCTTCCCTGCCTTGCCTGGTGAGGGTGCGAGCAGAGCCCCGCAGAAGCCGGGCGCCGGGTCAGCCCCGTGACCGCAGACGACAGAGGCGCCGGTGGCTGGCAGTCAGGTCGGGACACGCTGTCCGAGTCGCACCGGGCCGTGACGGCAGCACCGAGCCACGCTGGCCCCGGGGGGAGCGGGCCCCGTCTGGTTGTAGGCGCCCTCAGCCCTTGTCCCTGTGACCCCTCTGGTAGGGGACTCCGGGAGACAGCCCGCTCGCTGCAGCGTTGTTCACGGAGCCCATGGGACAGCCGCCTGTGCCCAGCAGCCCGGTGCGACTCGGTGGCACCGAGTCACAGGGAGCACGTGCTTATGAAACAAGGGGGGACCCGCTCTGGTGTCGAGACCCCCGACCTCTCAGCCTTGTAAACATTTTACATACAAACAACGTTAAACCAGTAAGACAACAAGGCCCCAAAACACAGTGAAACGAACTCGTTCCAGGTACCTATTGCCATACAACAGGTCACCCCAAAACTTAGTGGCCGAAAGCAGCCACCACCTTGCTATCCTCCCTGGTGCCTCTCGGTCGGCCAGGTGCCTTTTGGGATGTAGCCTCGGAGGTCACACAGCGTGACTGCCGCCATCCTCCCGGCGTGCAGGCGGTCCCCAGGATGCGGTGGCGAGGTTCCAGAACAGGGCGCGGGCCTGGCAACATCATGGCGGCCTCTGCTGGGGCAGGGACTCACTGCTTTGCTCTGCGTCTGCCGCGGGTTTACTCTAAGGCCCAAGAGTGCGGGAAGTCAGGGTTCACTCCAGTGTTCGGTCACTGGCCGTGATGCTGGCATTGTTGTGAAACTCTTTCGTATCGGGGGACAGAGCAAATACTGTACTGACTGCAGCAACCCAGACGTTAACCTAAGAGCTAAAATACAAGTGGAAGAGGGAAGGAATTAAGGAAAACCACAATACTCCCAAATAGGAGTTAGAAACAACAACATGTACCGACAATCCACTTTCAAACAGTCGGGGCTTCCTGGCTGTGTAGACGGAGGGCAAACCCGGCTGCTGGGGGTCCCCGGAGAGCCAGACTCGGGGCTCAGTGCCACCCCTCTCCCTGGAGAAGGGGGGCCCGCTCCAGGTCTGGAGCAGAAGTACCAGGACACCCCGAGCCATCTGTCCCCAAAGGGAAGCCCTCAAGGACCAAGGGGGTCGTGTCAGAAGGGGGACAGATCAGAAGGGCATCGTGCCGGGTGCAAATACTGCATGATTCCACGTCGGTGACATTCCTGATGTGCTAGACCTGTAGGAACAGAGCATGGGGGGGGGGGTGTGCTTGTGGGGGGCTCTGGCCGGCATGACGGCACCGTGGGGGGACCTTCCGCAAGGGCACACGGGGCCCCACTGGTCCTCAGCATCTTGGGAATCTCTCCTGCAACATAAAACCGCCTCGGGAGCTTCCACCGGCCGAGTCAGGGACAACTTGAGTCTTGAAAGCAAAGATTAATTGAAATCCGGGCCCGTATACTTCTTCTCAGAAGCAAAGGAAGCCAAGAAATAATAGTCTGCCCCCGCTGGACGTGGAGTTTGCGTCCACTTCTTACCGGGCGGGCTTAGTTACTTCTCTGCGGCAGAATTGGGGCCGCCTCCGCGGGGCGTATGGGAGCCGTACTTGGGCCCCCAGCGGCCCCGGCGGAAAGCACCAGCTAACAGAAGTGACGGGACACTGCGCACAGGAAGCCCCCGTTCGCCAACCCGAGTGCAGCACCTGATCCAGGACAGGCCTGCGGCTGCCAACGACCCCCAGTGACAGCAGGCGCCAAGGTGTCACCTTGCAGGTGGCTCGTAGGTCATGGGGGCCAGGGGGGATGTGCGTGTCACCTTACAGTGCCAGACTCTGCGGGCCCTCCTCCTGCCCCGGCCCTGGGTCTCAGCATCGCCCAGAGGGGGACAAGCACAGGATCTGGATCTGGGCAGGGGTGATGCCAGAGGAGCGAGGCGGTGCGTCTCACTTCCCGTTCACGGGCATCACAGCAAAGGCACAGGCAGGGGTGCCGCTGGGGAGCAACCGGACTCTGCAGGACCCCAGGCTGCTGGGCCGTCCAGGGGCCCCGGTGCTGGGGGGGCGGGCCAGGAGGAGGAGGCCGACCAGAATGGCCGAGACGCGGGATGGGGAGCCTTGTTGGGTTTGAGCACACCGGCCCGGAGACGGCCTGAGCGGTGGCCTCTGTCCCGACATCATCCTCTCCGCATTTCTGCATGAAACTTTTCATGACCAAATGTCCTTTAAAGCACGCCGCCAGGAAATCCTCTCGTCTTCTGGGAAGGACGCCAGCCCTGCTGTGCTGCCTCAGGAACAGGTGAGCGGGAGGTTGGCCTACGCCCTGGCCGCTCGGAGGGAGAGCCAGGGGGCCTGGAGTGGGGGCAGTGGATTGAGGGGCCTCCGTCAGAGTCACAGCCCCCCCGCCCCCGGCAGGTCCCCTCGGGTAGGCTGGTGAGCAATGTCCTCAGTGCCCCACAAGCTGCGGGAGAACCTTCTGGAACAAGATGGGGTGGAAATTTTTTTTGGAAGTATAATACTAATTCACCTGTGACAAGTACGTGCAAGAAACCTCTTTCCAGGCTTTGGGAGCCGGACTTGTCTTCCTGATGCTCCCCAAAGGGAAATATTTGGTGTTTTCAGTGTAAAAATACCAGAGATTGGCTTAAAAATAAAACCATGCAGAAAACTCCCAGGATAGAGACTGAGCAGTCCCCCAAGGCTGTCTCAGAGCCTGTAAGCTTTGGGGACAGTGTCCCGGACTCCTTCCGAGGCTTACAGATACGCTCCGCACAGCACACCCCTCTGCAGGGAAGGGACTGCGCAGGTCGTCTGAAATCCACACCCTAGGAGAGCCTTCCGTCCCTGGTGTCTCCACGTGTCCCTTGCATTGCAAAGTAGTCTGGCTACCACCGCCCTCTGGGCGGACGTGGGGGAGCCCCTGAGGCCCGGTGCTCCCTCCCTTCTGCCAGCTCCAGGGGTTATTCAGCGAGTGCAGCGCCCCCATTCATAGGACAGACTTAGGAAAGCCTCAGGTAGCAGGGACTAAAGAACGGGCCCAGGCTCCAGCTCTAAGAACCCCACCCACCCTTGTCCTCAGGCACTTAGTCCCCTCCCTTGGCCAGGGTGGGTGGGGTCATCGGAACAGTCCACACCCGCATCAGGCTGTTCTGTTCGCCAGTGTTGTTCTAACTCTCCACCAAACCTGTGAAGTGGGGACTACAAGTGCCCATGATTGACAGATGGAGAAACTGAGCCACAGGCTGTCAGGGACACCCAGCTAGATTTGGGAAGGTCAGGGATTTGGCCCCAGGGGTCTGACCCAGGAACACCTGCCCTTTTACTCCTGCTCTCCACTGCACAGCCTGCTGGCCAGGATGACTAATGCGGCACACCTCACTGTGTGCTGAGCCAGATGGCAGCCCCAGCTCCTGGTTACCTGTGCACTTGACACGTGGAGAAAGATTCTCTGCACATGTGATCGAGTTAAAATGAGACCACTACGGTAGTGCTAATGTAGTGACCACAGGAGAGGCCAAGTGAAGATGGAGACCAAGACTGGGGGCGGGGGTGGTGGTGGGGAACGTGGCTGCAGCCCAAGACAGCCTGGGGCCCCAGAAACTGGAAGAGGCAAGGAAGGACCCTTCCCTGGAGTCTTCAGAGGAGCCCAGCCCTGTGGCACCTGGATTTCTGCCTTCTGGCCTCCAGAACCACGAGAACATAATTTCTGTTGTGTTTTCTAAGCACCTCGGTTGGTGGCACTTCGCGGTGTGGCAGCCACAGGAAAATAAAACCGCATTCTCAACGTGTTACAAACAGAACGGCTTTGGGCACCCCTGGCCCTCTTTCCCGGCAACTCAGTTGAAGTGACCCCAGGTTCACAGTGCGCCACCACCGCCTGCCCATGGGGACTGCTGACCTAGGCACCATTTCTGAAAAAATAGACAAAAATCACGAAACACCCTCCCAACTGCAGATGCAGCCCAGAAATGAAGAACCTCAGGAAACCCGGCCCTGGGGCGCATGGCTTTCCAACCCAACTGTCATCTTGCTCCAGTTAATTCAACGCTTTTCTACAAGCTGTGATGTGATGAGGCTGTGGTTGGTACCCCAGCCCGGCGGCAGGGCCCGCACCTCTGGGCCTCATGGGTGCGGCGGGGGAGGGGGTCTGCTCAAGCCGGAGCCAGGCTGAGCGTGCGCGGACGCGGGTGCGCGAGAAGGCGGGACCGAGTGCGAAGCCCATAGGCAGAACTCCGGGATTTGAGGACGGCAGAGGCATGGGCGGTGGGGTCGCCGGAGGTCTGCGGGGTCCGCGCGCGCGTTATTGCAGATGGCACCGAACTGGAAGAGCAC